GAGACTTGTAAAGTTTATGTTTCAAAAGTTTGTTTAAAAAATGTGGTATTGTATTTATCTGACTAGTCTGATTTTTATATTAGCACATATTAGTTGTACAAAGTGATTTCACTGTGATACTTCCATACATGTATACAATGTACCTCTATCAAATTCATACTCTCTACCATTCCCTTTATTTCTCCTTCCCACTTCTTCAAACAATTTCAAAAGGCTTCATAGTTCAATTTCCATAGACAGGTATAAAGTCCTTCTACCATATTCACTGCTCCTTTCACCCTCTTCTTTCACTATCCCCCCTCCTGCTGGTACCCGCCCAAACAGAATCTTTTTTAAAGTCCTGTTATTCGTTTATAAAGACTAGATTCTCCATGCAAATCATTAATATATGCATGAGATATATGATTCCATGCATATATTCATTTAGCACACACAATCTCAGTTTAACCTTTAGTGCCAATAAATAAATAAATAATAAAGTGAAGCAGCTCTTAGATCCAACAAATTCTGAGGACTTGTTTTCAAATTATTGAGCTTAAAGAGATTCTAAAAGTAGAACTTTGATTTTAATGTCAATACCATCAACTGCAAACTGTACTGTCAGTGCATCATAGGAGTCTTGGTTGTTGGCTTTAGTATAAATTGAAAATTATTATGTGCTCAAAACAATGGAGAAAATATTCTGATGTTAAAAATTTAATTAACCTTTTATTTGGTGATGAACTCACTTTACCATTTAAAAACTTATGTATTTAACATTCTTTGCAATGACTGTATTAGTCAAAATGATAGTTTTACCAATTAAGAAAACCAACACACTTCATTTTTATAGGATAGTTAACCATTAATATTAAATGGAAAGAGAATATAAAAGTATCTTAGAAATATTTGAGATTTAATCATAAATTATATTGTCACTGCTAATTTTTATGTGATCTGATATTTAGAAGGAAAAGGACTAGTGAAGGAATATATTTGGATGTTTTTAAAAATAAAATACAGTTTCATGTATCCTCAAATATTTCATATTTTCCACTGAGAAAAATACCATGGCTGATAGTAATTAGTGATAAGAATGTATCTTTTTTATGAGTACCATTATTTTGGGACACTCTGGTTTTTTTTATAGGATAATCATAATCAAGACAATAAAATATAATGCATTGTATTATTTCTGATCTTGTAAATGAGATTATTAAAACTAAATTCTGTGCTTTGAAGTAAATTAAGGAAAGTTCATTTGTGATTTCAGAATCCTCGTGTTATTAGTTTCTTGAGTATTGTGCAGATATCGGTTTCATTATATTATTTGAAAACCACTACATAAGGTCAAATTATTTCTATCCTTTTATTCTAAGTTTGATTTGACACTTGAAGTTTATTTTATGGTGTAGGAAGGGGGTGCTTTTCATTTTTAATGGACATTCAAAGACTAATCAAGAAACAAGCACTACTGTTAAAAATAAGGAATTTAAAGGGTTTCCTTTGACCCTCCTGATCTCAATAGTGTCTGTGAGTCAGCAATGTCTCTGACTCATGTAGGAGGAAAGCTCTCAGGATCAGCTTGGTTGGCTGATCTGGGAGAGACATACAGCAATTTAAAGACACAATTTGGGCATTGACATCCTCTTATCCAAGGTCTTCATAAAGAGTTATGATTTGCCAGATGTAATGGCACATGAATTAATCCTAGCTCTGGTAAGGCTAACACAGGAGAATTACAAGTTCCAAGTCAGACTGGGCTATATAGAGAGGCCCTATCCCCAAAAATAAAAACAAAAACAAACAAACAAATAAGGAAACAAAGAGTTCAGCATTAACTCTTTTGGGGTGAAAAAAATAGAGCTCTATCCTACACCTATAAATATTTAGGAGCCACCAAAATTGAGGGGTGTAAGAAATACGTAAATATTATCAACATTTCCAATTAGCTTTGTTTTTATGGAACCTAATATTAATTGTTGGAAACATAATGGTGACTAAATGTCTTGAACACATTAAACTATAATGAATAGAAAATATACGCAGAAGAACTTAAAATCTAAGAGTGGAGAAGAAATAGCAATATGAAATCTTAATTGAAAATACAAAGTAAACATTTGGAAAAAGATAAGGCTATTATCAAAATCTAAACTTTTAGACAGTAAATTTTTTATTTTGTATTTTTCTTAAAATTAATAAACTTTTATTTCAAAGGAAATATAAATATAGACAAGAACTACACTAAATAAAAGTACAAATAAAAGAACATGATATTCACACTAGCCACAACTGCTATTTAGTATCTGATATTATTACAGATCTATATATCTACAGGTACATCTATGGGTAAATGGATAAGTTTCCCATATTAAGATCTTAGTGTTTTGCACCCTAGTCCTTTTAGTTTGTGGTCCATGTCTTCCTATGGCAAGAAATATATATCTCATCTACCTGATCCATATTCAGACTTCTCAAATTATCTGAAGTAGGACTTTATAGTTGGTTTGAACAAACCACAATCCAATCCAGGATTGCACTTCACATCCAATTGCTATGTGGGCTAAGTCTTCTTAGTCTACAACAGTCTCTTTTTCTCATGAAATTCAGTAATTATTATGAGAACCTGCAAGAGGTCTTATAGAGTGTTCTCCTTTCTTGATTTTACTGGCACCTTCTTTGTAGTTAATACTTTATTTTTTTAGAGAACAATCTGAATATGAAGAATTTGGCATCTTAAAAATGTCCAACTAAACATTTTTTAATGATTTTTAAGTGCAGTGACTATAGCTCATTTCTTCAAGTTGTTTGTACTTCTACAATTATAAGGAAAAAGTAAGGAAATCCAAGTCAATGAAAGGAAGTGCCATGGGAAAATACTAAAAATGAATGTTAACTGGAAAAACAGAAATTGATAATGTTTTATTTTGATTGCCATGACCAACCTAAGTAGTAATGACAGGACAATTAGTCTCCACAAGAATAAGATGAAAATTATAGGTGTCTTGTTTTTTCTATTGACAGTTATCTGTATTACAAAACAGTCAACAAATAAAGAAAACCAAGATAGAACATTTTAAAAAGATGTACAGTGATGCTGGGTGCCAGTGGCTCATGCCTGTAATTCTAATTACTCAAGAGGCCAGAGATCAGGAGGATCATGGTTCGAAGCCAGGCTGAGCAAATAGTTCACAAGATCCTATCTTGAAAATCCCATCACATACAAAATAAGGTCTGGTGGAGTGGTTCAAAGGTGTAGGCCCTGAGTTCAAGCCCCAGTACCACACACACACACACACACACGCACACAAATTTACAGTAACCTTGGCATTGATATATATTTGTGTGTATATATGTGTGTGCATGCACATTTCATGAAAATATACTGCCTATTCTTTTATACAATAAATAAACAGAAGGTCTGAGCTTGGTTCACATCTTCAATGAAAATGTTGGACATCCTTCTCAATTATACATGTCCTTTGCAATAACAGAAATTGGGCTAAGGAAATAAAAATACAACTCTTTCTGTAGTAGTGACTTTTCAATGATGTGCTCAGCACTTAAGCTAAAAATTATGCCTTTGATTGAAAATCTAAAATACTTTTGAAATACATACTTAACTGGTATGTTCAAAATATGATTCTGCTCACACAGTAACACATCACAATGATGAGTTTGTGTCTATACTATAATTTTCTAAACAGATTTTTTATGTCTGTAGAAAATCCCATTTAAGAAAAACTAGTTGAATTATAGCAACATTTCAGTAAGCTATAGCACTTTGAGCTGTCAGGAAACAACCTTTAGAATGAACTACTTTTTAGATTTTTTCCTCAGTTTTATATGACAATATAGAGTCATAATCTTTAAAAGACATGACTTCATTTATTGAAGTAGTTATACAGATTTTTTGAAGGGCTTTTTTTTTTCAGGGGTTTTTTTAGGATCATCCAATATCATTACTTCTGGTCTTTGAGTAAAAGTGTATTTTGTAAGTGCAAGTATTTTTTTTCCCAGAGAATGTAGCTGTGTAGAATAGGTTGTTGTAAAAGTAGGAATATATGGTATAAAATACTTTATTATGAAAAGTGTGACAGGAAATTCTTTTTATTTGATACCTGTTATAGTTCAATAGTCAAATATTTATTACATAGGGTATATGTATTTTGTCCCAGCTTATTTAATATGGCATATGAAATTAAAATATTTCAGGTCTCTGACCACTGAAAGTTCATAGACACTGCTTTACTCTTTTTATTCTTTAAAGGATATAAATCTCTAATCTCTTTCTAATCCCTCTTTGGCAATTTCATATCTTGTAATGTAATATTTAATGTGGAGAGTTCTTACTGGTTTTCTCATAGAATGATGGGGGTTAGACATGTTTCTGGATGGGATGTTCACTTTTGCTATAGAGCAGTGGTTCTAAACTGGAGGTGATGTTTGCAGATATTTGGAAATCTCTAGTGTCATCAGCCTGATTGGAGAATGAGTGAATAGACACCAGGGATGCTGCTAGACATCCTAAAATGCACAGAGCAGTGCCTCACAACAAACTCTCATCTGGCCCAAAATTGCCAATAGTGCCACTGCTGAGACTGTCACTTTAGAGAAAATGCTGAAAATAAAATTATGTACCACAACAATATTATTAAAATGTATTTTCCATTTATTCACGAATAATAATAAAATTTAAATGATTTTAAATGTTCCCATGCCACCATCTTAGCATATGTTTTTCATTCTGTTACCAAGTTTTAATTTTTTTCATCAAATAGCATGTTGTGACTGCTCATCCTCAAAAATTAGCTGTGTGTGCATGGTTTATTTTTACAAAACAAAGCAACAAACTGCACTTTTGCCATGAGAAGGTTTTTTTTTACAGCCCTAATGCATCCTTATTTTCCATTTATTCTAAATGACTAGATTCATGAAATGTGGATAATTTCTTATATAACTCATCTTTCCTCTTCCTCAGTTTCTTCTCTATACTTATTTTTTTTTCTTCTTATTGGCAGAACTCCCTTGATTGCAGCAGGAGTCATCGGTGGGCTCTTCATTCTGGTCATTGTGGGTCTAACATTTGCAGTCTATGTTAGAAGGAAGAGCATTAAGAAGAAAAGAGCTTTGAGAAGATTCTTGGAAACAGAGGTGAGGTGGTTATTATTTCTTTTTACATACTTAGGTTTAAGAGATATAGATGACACGGGATCTTTCTGTTTGTTTTGGATGTCACAGAAGCAATTTTATTTTATAATAGCATACAATTGTTGTACATGGAGGGTACATTGTGACGTTTTACATATGTGCTTGCAATATACCTAATTTGATTTACCCCCTCCATCATTCTCCCTCATCCCTCTCTCCCCTTCATAGAACAATTTCAGAAGGTTTCATTATTTTGTTTTCATACATGAATACAAACTGTTTCCACCATATTCACCCTTCTTTACCCTTTCCTGTCCAAGTGAAAATCATATTCTGTTAGTTCACTTTCCTGATGAGATTTTGTATTTTGTTTTATCTTTGTAAAAAGTTGGTGAAGAGATCAGATTATATAGTAAAAGTAATCAAGATAGGTTCATAGCTTGAGGAAGGTAGATGATAGAGCCCAGGACATTATTGTATTGGGAAAAGGACAGATCTGGTTTTGGTTTTATTTTTTGGTTTTTATGTTTATATTTGGTGGGGTTCTACTTGCAAACTCTGGCTATAGGATATCTCAATAGTGACAGAACTCACAAATATTAGAATAGAGCATATCTCAGTGTCAGAACTAGCAATATGTTAGAAAGAATTTTTCTGGTTCAAAATATAAGCAAATAGGCAAGCAATATGTACTTTAATTAAGGTAATTAGTTGGCATTCAATGATCTTATTATACCAGCAGTGAAAGATTGACCTTACAAGATAAAGCTTAGTGTTGTAATCACACAGAACTTACAACACAATTTATAAGACATATTTAATATTATGCATAGTGGTTACTGTGAATATGTAAAACATACATTAATTATTATAATTTATTTTCTATTGTAATACTAAGTTCTCTAGAATGCAAGCTGACAGTTTTCATTGCACACTCCTGTGCAATGAAATACAATTAAAGAAAACCATGAAGAACCAGACCATTCTTAATTCCCATCCTCCATCTTTTTCCTGATACCCACGTCCATGGGTATGGGTACCATGGACGTGGGTATCAGAGGAATCCTGAATAATTCAGAGCAATTCTGTCTTGAGATAAAAATTACCCTGTGCTTAATGTATCACCCATTGTCATTGCAACAACATGGCTTTCCCTCTAAACACTAATAGAAAAGGAATGCTGATTCTTTCATAAATTTCTCATAGTGATGATGAATTAGACTGATAAAGAATTTGATTTTAACTCTTCCTCCAGTAATTGAAATGAGATAGGATAATCATGTGAAAGTTTCTGAAAGCTACTGCTGCATATAGGAAAATATTTCCTATCTGAAATAATTCATACCTGAGAAAACATAGCCATAATTTTCACATTAGCTGGCTATTTACAGAAGATCATCTTGATTACTTTCAGCCTTGCACTATGAATGAAAGTTAGGGAACACATGTTATATGAATATTTTCAATTGGCTAGAGTGCTAGACGCAAATAAAATTCTCCCCCATGGCTGTTTTGGGGCAGAGAATTCTGAAGAATAATGTAAACTACAGTTGCAGGACTAAAAGCTCAGAACAACAGTGAACATTTAGGTGACTGAGTAGAGGAGAAAATCCATTAACTACCTACAAGGAAGGCTCATTGCTATGAAAAGAATTGTGTTGCTTTGTTCTGTTTCTGAAATGCAATGTTTACTAAGAAAGTTCTTCAAGTTGTCATTTCCCTGCTATACAAACACATTCTGATCGGTCTTTTAAAAAGGTTTTATACAATTATTGCTTAAGACTAAATTATTTTATATCCTCAGGTTAGATTAGTATATAATTTCCCATGTTTCTTTCAGTGAAAGTAAATGACTATGATTTTCAACCACCATCTAAATAGAAAAGTAATTCTTAAAGAAGTCAATTTAAATCCTTAAATCCTAAAGGTAGATTCTGCATCAGAGGAGAAAAATTTTGTAAGGCACTTAAAATTGATAAAATCTCCTAGGATCATTTTGCTTCCCATTTTCTTTCTTCTGTTATTTGTAAAAGTACAAAAGATACAGTTTTCAAAGCATATTCATTGAGATACACTGAAAGTTTGAAGCTAAGGTAGGTGCCTTGATTAAAAAATATGTATTAAGGAGACATGATACTTTTCTTAAAGAGTGACGGATTCATTTCCTACAATATGCCAGGCAACATTCTGGGATTGTCCACCTATGCTGTCTCATTTCATCCTTTGACTGTCCTCTAAAACAAATGTTTCTATATCTATTTCACAGAAGGGGTAAATTGCCTTTTAGCCTAGAGCAGAAACCCTGGTATGCAGTCATCCAAATTTACTCAAACCTCTTTATAACATTTCACTCCTAGCTTGTAAAATATTCTTTTAAAGAGGTGACATTCAAATTCCCAGAAAGGATGTGTTTGTGGAAAACTTCAATAGTACATTAAATAATTGCAGGAAAATACACATCTCAAGTAGAACTGTGAACTTTCAAAATATGGAATTATTGCATGGTATATGCCAAGCTACGTATTTTATATATATTGCCCAAAATGCTGAAGCCCCTTCCCAATTTTGTGTGTAATTTTTATATGTCTTTTATGTGTAATTTTTTAAATGACTCATAAGTAATCATCATACACATAGTGTTATCAAAATCTTTGGACAACTGTATGAATGAATTGTCTTCAAATGAAAGAAAAATCTGCTGAAGATTCTGTTTCAGACTTAATGAATATTTTAGTGATTCTTTCTCAGATTTTTCATGTCATTTGAATGAAGTTAGAAATTATCAGATTTATTTTTTCACTACAATTTTGAAAATGAAGTAAAAGCAGACTTGTCACACTATTAGAAGATAATCTATGTTTGTAGATAATTTTATCATGATCTTCCTAAAATTCTTGCTAGTGCTATACTTACCTACACTCAAGACTGTTCCACTAATTAAGCAGGCCATGATGTCTACAGAAGCAAGATAATAACACCAAGCTGGAGGGCTACAGTGCACTTAGCATTGTAAACAGACATTTTGAAATACTGTGGTGTGTCCAGACAATTTGAGTAGGAGTAGCCCTTAATTATTTTCTTATGAAGGGAAAGAATAAGCTATTTCTCTATGTATAAAGTTTAGTTCCTTTTTAACTTACAAAAGGGAAAAAAACTCTCCTACTTTTCTCACTTTCTTTTTTCTTCATGCATGAATTAAAACTTAATATTTTAACAAGGAATATAGGGTTTTGGAGCCCAAATTCTCTCTTATGTATAGTAATGCCCTTATTCATGAATGATACCTTTCAAAACCACAAGTGGATTCCTGAGACAGTGCTGATAGCACTGAACTCTATATACACGGTGTTGCTTTTCTTATACAAACACAACTCTGATAGTTTAATTTAGAAATTAGACACAGTAAATGAGTAACAGTAATAATGAGATACAGCAATTATAAAAATATACTTTACTAAAAGTAGTTTAAACTTATGAGTTATTTACTTCTGAAATTTTCTCCTTAGAATTTTCTAAATAGACTTGACCATAGGTAATTGAAAGTATAGAAAGTGGAACAGTGGGTAAGGGATGATTACTATAAACATTTGTCTCACCTATGCCAGTGACTGGTACATATTCACATACCTTTCCCTATTCATTCCTCCTCTCCAGCTGAATGACATTTTAACTGTGATGTCTAAAACTGCCAGCCTACACGACATTTTTGCCCATGCTTAGCCCACCTGATGACCTAATGTTTTCCACTTTAATCTCACTTTTTAGACTTGTCTCGATCCCTGGTGTATTCTTCCATATGTTCCTCCTGATGCTACAGGTCAACTACTCTTCACCATGGGAAGTGCCCACCTGATGCAAATCCAATTTTATTTTCTCAAGACTGATCTTGAAGTGCACTTCCTTTAGGAAGTCAGAACTAGTGAGGTTCTACATCCAGTGGTCATTGAATTCCTTTCCTTCTATAGCAATCACTTAACATCAAGAATCAAATCATAAAATTTTTTTATCTGGAAGGTGCACTAGGACCTGGTTATTTAAAAGGAGTTTAAAACCTACCATCATATATAGATATCACCTGGAGTTCTATAAAAATGCAAAATTTCAGGCCTACTCTACATCTTCTGAACCAGGACTTGCATTTTGACAAGAATCTCAGGGATTTTTGTCTCTTCACTGAAGTTTTAGAAGCACTGTTCTAAGGACTAGAATTGTGCTAGCTTTTTTCCTCTTTTGACACATTTTCTAGTATTCCAGCTAGATTTTAAGCACCAAGAAGGCAACATTTGTATTTTTATACATCATATCTCTTAGCCTAGTATGCCTCGGCTATACTATTTGAATTCACACAGGTAAAAAGTAGGAGAAGAGAAAGGCAAGGTCTGAAGGATTTCCTAAGTGTTTGTGGATGGTGAGTGAGCGTCTCATCTTACAAAAATATTGGTGGTCACAAAAACTATGTGCATTTTTTCATTTGTGAGAACAAGATCCAGAGAGAGTGTGAGCAGGACTGATTAAAGGATTGAAGTTAGATAACCTATCTGTTTGCTTTGCAGTTGGTAGAACCCTTAACTCCCAGTGGCACAGCACCCAATCAAGCTCAACTTCGTATTTTGAAAGAAACTGAACTCAAGAGGGTAAAAGTCCTTGGCTCAGGTGCTTTTGGAACTGTTTATAAAGTAAGTAAGAACAACACATATCATCAGTTATTTAAGTTTTGTTTCTACTTTGAAAAATAATAGTCAAGGTAATTACTTAGCCAACCTAATTTCCTTTTAATGTTCAGAGAGGAGGACCGTCATAGAATTGAGAAGTTGCTGCACAAATGAATCCATTAATTTTTATTGAACAAGCTTGGATAGTCTTGAGAGAAACACAGGAAATAATGGTAAAGCCAAGTATAGTTATTTCTCTCTCTTCTGAGCCCGTTTCAATTTTGCCCTCTCTTTGGCAAATTTTCATTTAATATCCCAAGTACTCAGCCCCAAAGCATTTTCCTCTCTTCCTACATAGTGCTCCATGAACTCCCAAACATGCCTGAGCAATGTACCATAATAACTTGCTCTTCTTTCCTTCTACTGTTTTATTTAAAAAATCCATATCAGAACACACATATAGAAAGTGATTAAGGCAAGATGCTAAACCACTTTTTGCCTATTTGTTACATATATGATTTAGAAGTCAATGTCCATAGAGGTTTATGTGTAAATATCAAATTGACTATATGAGAAATTCAGGTCAGATAAGAGGAAAGAGTAACATTATGGCTTTACAATGCGAGATATTTCTGGAAAGGGAAGACTCAAATAATGACACTTGTATGTTAACTTTATTTAGCTTAATTACAAAATCAACCCAGAGGCCAGACCCAAGTTTAGTTGTGGTAAAATTTGTTTTAATAGTAAAAAACACAAATAGGAATCTGCCACGTTACTCTTGAACCCTTCTTTATAATAATCATTGCTACAAGACTTATTTTGCTGCTTAATATGTTTCTTAACCATAAGTATAAGCCCCATTTTTTACAAACATATCAGTTAAAATTATTGGAGCTTAGCAATTTTTCATTTTAAAATGTTCAGTTTTTTTTTAACTATTTAAAACAATGATTTTAGCTGAGCATGGGGACACATTGCTATAACCTCCAGCATATGGGAGGCTGGAATGGGAAAATAATTCAAAAATAATTCTTTTTTGAGACCTGGTCTCAAAAAAGAAAGTAAAACAATGATTTATTTAACAGAAAATATTAATAAGTAGAAGATAGACCTTAATTTTTCTGTCCTGAGTGTTTCAAAATTTTCTCTTCTTACAACTCTTTCTTTCTAAGATCAAAATGCAGAAGTTTTCCTAATCTTTTTAATGTGCATATTTTATCCAATTAAATTTTGAATTATTAACTGAGCTAATTTTCACAGACACTATTCTAAGCTGACTTGATGACTTTCTAATCTTCAAATTCTTTGCATGTTCAAAGAAACACAACTCACCTTTTTTCTCAACTTATATTATGCTAGAAAATAGAGATTCAAAGTGTATCATTTTATATGCTTAAAATTTAGTCTAGTTTTTAAACTTGTATTCATATATTTAATTAGTTTATATATTTCAATGATAAAATTGTATCGAATAAATTCTTTGGTATGTTAAAATAAAATCCTAAATTTTAGCATTAAATGAAAAAATTGGCAAACTGAATGTAATGTAGTAAATTGCATCAATACAATGATTGGCTCAATCATTCTGGATCAGGTCCCAACATAACCTAGTATTCCAATCACCTGTTGCAGGATTTGCTCCCACATGACTTAACTCATAATTGTTACAATCTTCCATATTCATAGGTACAACCAAAAGGTTCTTTGCTAAACCACAGGATAAGTCAGTAGCAATGAGTTAGAGCTTTCTTACCTTATGTACCATATATCATGTTTGTTACTAATTCTGCATCTCTCATGAACAAAATTTAACACACATAACAAAATTAGTGTTTTTATGGAGAATTGAGATAAAGCTAAATGGCCAAATTTAAATACATTATAACAAACTTCCATTTTTAAGATAACTCAATATTAGATTGTTACCAAGTATCATCACTCTTATATTTTTTCAGATAAATATGTTCTGGAAGTTAAATTTTGTTGTAAATAGTGGAGACCCTACAATTCAAGACTAAACACTATCTCATCTCTTTGATAGGAAAAATACTTCATATTTAAACATTCAATATAAAGCTTTATTAAGAACAATTTTTGCCTGTTATTCATGACTAGTTTATTTTTATTGAAATTATTTGTGACCAGGTGTGTTGGCTCATATCTGTAATCCCAATCACCAAGTAGACACAGATTGGGAGGATTGTAGTTTGAGGTCAGCCATAGCAAAAAGTTGGTAAGACTCCATCTCAACCAACAGAGCTGGGTGTGGTTACATGCTTTTGTCATCCCACCTTTGCAGAGGCATAAACAAGAGGATCACAGTCCAGTCTGACCCTTGAAAAAAATGTGAGATCCTATTTGAAGGTTAACTAAAGCAAAAAGACCTGGGAACATGGCTTGAATCAATATATCAATTGCTACAGGATATACTTTCTTAAAGCATAAAGGATTATTCTTGACCACAGAAATGCAAATTGCTCAGGCAATTAATTTGGTTATTTTTCCTCCTAACTGGAGATATTCTGTGTTAAAACATAAAAGATTAGAATCAGTTTTTATCTGGTCAAGTCAGGAAAATAATCTCTGTTCTTATTTTAAAAGCAGCAAAAATTAATTCACACTGAATGTGTATTCCTATTTTAAAACTATAGGGATAGTTGAATATTTAACATTGATGCCATGTATTTGTAAAGCAAGCTGCTCTGTGGCTATTTTTTCTGTGTTTTTTTTTTTGCATTTGTACTTTAATATTTTAAAAATTTTATGCCACAAATAACTTATTATTTTGCATATGGCATATGGATTTCCCTATTGATTCAGCCAGCAAAAGATACAACCCTAAATCTCCTCTTAAGGTGAAAGTATTTTTTTCTTGCTATTTATCAATTCTTGTGTGTATGTCTTCTATTATTCCAACTTTGGGTAACATAAATACATATAATCGATGTTCAAAGTGAAAAATTTTTAAATCTTTTATTCTATGAATACAACCAGCCAATATTAACAAAGACACAAGGTGGAGTAGATGTCTTATTCAGGAATAGCAGACTATATTTTTTTTCCTTTCATGAATGTTAAAACTGTCATTAGTAGTCATGTTTTATATCATGACTAAGAAATTAAAATTTGAGATTTTCTTCCCTCTCCTGATTTTATTTGGTTTTTTTTGGGTTCATTTTGAGACAATGCACTCTAAAAAAAAATCCTTGTATAAACTATTCATCCTTTTGTATCTTATTAAAATTATTGTCCTCATTTAAGTGTTCAAATTCAGTTTACCCCAAAATTGTATTTCTTAATTTAATGGGGTATTTTTCAAATTCTACCAACTTTACACTTTTCCAATGCATAGATCCTTTTCAGATGTTATAGTTATATGTTGACAGGAAGAGAGAATTGACAGTGGCCAATATATACATTTCATCTTTACCTAAAGGATAATAAAAATCCTTGGTACACACAGAGTTTAATATGGACAGATTAATATATGTTCAATATCCCCTAGTACTTGCTTTTGAACTCTAATTCTAAAATAACCACCTTTGAAAGTTAATTCTTAATTCAATCTGAGCTGGGAGAACATGAGAGTATGTTTTTTAAATTATTTTCTTTTAGTTGCAGAATTAGATAATAATAAAGCTGAAAGGACCTTCAGCTTTACTTAGCCCAGGCTTCTACATTACAGTTAAGAAAGCTGAAGTTAAAAAAATGGAATATCCTTTTCAAAGTCTTGAGAAGTTGGTAATACTGTCCTTGTGTGTGTGTGTGTGTGAGGGTACTGGGGTTTGGACTCAAGGCCTTGAGCCTGACAGATTCTTCATTTGAGCTACACGACCAGCGCTTTTCACCATACGTTTTTTATGGACAGGGTCTCACATTTATGTGTGGGCCAGTCTGGACCACCATCCTCCTATTTATGCTTCCCAAGTACTGGAATGACAGACGCGCACCACCACACCTGCTTTCATTAGTTGAGATGGGGTCTTGCAAACTGTTTTGCCTGTGCTGACCTCAAACTATACTATCCTTATGCTCTCCACCTCTTGAGTAGCTAGGATTTCAGGTGTAAGCCACTGCACATGGCTTGAAATTTTTCATTCTGTCCTATTTCAATGCTTTCTTCTCTTTGCAAAGCCTTTGTATTGCACATATGTTGAATTTGATAAGCGTGCAAACACCTCAAAAACACATGCAAAAAAGTTTATTAATTAAGTAAATGAACTAAGCAATTTTAAGATGTTAATAGTTTGAGAGGTCAAATCAAGTTTTACTTCTGCTATAAATGTTACATGTCTGTTGATATATATTTAATGTGACTTCTTCCTGAAAGGGTATTTGGGTACCTGAAGGAGAAACAGTGAAGATTCCTGTGGCTATTAAGATTCTCAATGAAACAACTGGTCCTAAAGCCAATGTGGAATTCATGGATGTAAGTATATGCAAGCACAAAATCATGTTTTTTCCACTATCCTTGAGGTTTGAAAAAATATTTCTTGTTTGGATATGATATAATCTTATATTTGGAATTTTTAAGACCAGTTTACATTATAGCATGACTTTTAGATGCCCTCTGTTTTTATATATATATATAATGTCTAGATAATTCACTAGAACTTGCTTTTAAATTTTGAAGATATTTAAAATCCCCATGATAGATTATCTTTTGTGAATCAGATGTGATATTTTCATATTAAATGTAGTCAGATATTATTTTAAGCAAAAGAAATACATAATGGAAACTGAAAATACATTATAAATCACCACTGGTATTTAATAACCAGATATCATAAGTGTATTTCTTAAAGTTAGTTACACGAAACCTTATTTGAAGGCATGTGAGTGGTGGTAATGGTAAGTCCCGAATATTTACAAAGTACTAAACAATGTTATAGATAATAGCTCACCTAATTTTGATGACACAACAGTGCAGGTAACCTCAACGTGAACCCAAGGTCACAATGTTAGGAAATGATAAGCCCAGGTTTTCAGTTCCAGCAACCCACCTTGTTCTGGGGTCAAAAAATGTTTTCTTAAGTCAGAAAACTGTCAGGATTTGTATGCCATGTCTTCTCTGTGTCAACTCCCCAACTCTGCTCATATTAGTTGGAATGCAGCCATAGGGAGTTAATATAAAACAAAGTAAAATGTGAATGGTGTGTCTGTGTTCCAATAAAACTTTATTTACACAACCAAGATGGCAGACCAGATTTGATTCGAGGGCCATCTTCTGCTGCATGTTTCCTACTGTGAAAAACTGCATTTGGGGAGAATGGCGATGATTTGAAAAATTAATTGAGTTGTTTTAATCTATTGTAGTTATGACCTCTTTGGTTGAAAACAAGCAAGATTAATTTCTGTAGTAAGTTAGTCTCTACTAAATTTAAGAACCTATTCATACCATTTAATTTCCTATTGAAATTTACTTTTTTAAATTCAATTCAGAAGTCAGGACTGCATAGGTAGAAAGCATCAGCTATAGAATAATAAGAAATTCTAAAGAATAAAAGTACATTATAAGGTCAATCAGTACTTTAAGACTTCCCCCAGCAAGAGTTGTAGATTAAGCTGTTCAGCAAATTTCAGACAGCATGATGGAATAAAATTATATATGTGCATGCTGTTATTTTTTCACATTGAACACAAGATGTCTTGCCAGGTATTCTAGAAAAGACCTATATACATTCTTTCTCTGCCTTTTAACTTAATGTCTTCAGTAATAAGAATGATTCAATTTTCAAATGACCTTTTATATGAATGACGAAGCAAGCATACGTACTTTGATTTTTTTTAAGATGGATTGCAATATATTCCTACCAACTTTCTCTTGAAAGCTCTTTTGTAAAATTTACAGGCGCTCAGTCTGCGACCTTGAATAATTTGAATATAATGCTAACCACCTCACGTAAGGCTATTTTAGCTTAATTTGCTATTTGTTTTTACATAGTAGGGCTAAGGGTACAAACCAGATACCACAAACAGCTGATTCTGTGCCTTATCACAGTTGCTAAATAAGTTAAATGTCATCTGGACCCAATAAATATTGAGTCCAGTACCTAAATAATGTTTTTTTCTGCAGGTCTGCAAAGGTTCTGACACTCCCTGCAACTACATGTCTTGGCTCATATATTAAACTTTAAAACTGAACCCTTTTTCAGTGATGTCCCAATTATTCAATGTGATCTTGATCAAAGCTAGCAACTTGTGAAGGGAAAGTAGGAATAATAAAGAAAAATTACAGTACGTACAAACAGTGTAAGTTAATACATAAAATTAATAGAAGACAGGTCTTGCCCAGCTTAGGCTAAGCTAAAGCTGAAATTCACAAGAATGCTAATAATCTCTGCTGGAGGCCTGGACAGCCATTTTTATCATATTTCCATGGAAACAGACTAGCAAAAGGGGGTTAAGAGGCTACAAAATAATCGCCTAAAAAAGAAGCTCTAAAAACCTCATCATGATTTCAAATGATTATTTGAAAGCTCCTAACCCCATCCATATTCTCCCCCTTGATCTGAAGCCTATTCCCATGGAAACAAGAGTGGGATGGCAGCTTGAAGTCTTAGATTTCTACTGAATTTTAGATGAGCCTCTGATTGAGCCATGAAAGGAGTCATTTTCCTAGGTGGTTGATGGCTTTGGCAACTAACAGACTCAAAAGAGTGTGTGTGTTCTTTGTTTGATTTTTAAGTCCATTCCTTTTTTAAGTCAAAAAAATTAAGGAAGATATTTTGACTATTCTTTTCCTACTTGTGCATAGATACTATGCATATATAGTATATATAATATATAGATACTATATTAAAAAATTGATAAACCTCTATCAAAAGAGTTTTGATAAATGTCAGACTGAAACACTTCCTGCTATCTTGGTGACTTATTTTAAAACTCTGGAAGGATAGCATCACAAGGATTAAAACAGTTTAACTGGTGCAACTGAGTTCAGTATTTTATGTTGGTTAGTTATACTTTCATGCAAACATATGTAGCCATTTCATACTTATATTTTTAGTTCATCTGTTATGTATGCAGATCACAAGTATTTGAATAGCATATCAAACAACAGTAAATGGTTTAGACAAGCAATATTATTTGTAATTTGAGCCTAAGTACTGAGTTGAAATCACAATATTCCAGTTACTAAATTAAGTTAATATGCTTGACATATACCTTAGTTCAAGTTCTTCCAGCAGCAGAAGCTGCTCATGAAATGAGAATTAGAGTCAAAGTAATTTATTCCAGGTGGTGAGGGAATCACCAGTAGGAGAATGTGGAAATAAGCAGGGCAGACACTAGCCACAAGAAAGGCTCTGGCAGCTAGCATAAGACACTCACATACAGTTACTCTACTCAGGCATTGAGAGCTGGAGTCCATATACCAGTTCATGTGTCCCATTGGCTGATGGCTACTAAGAGACAACATTCATCCCCTGCTGTCCTACTTACCAAGAGTGGTGAAAATAAGCTCTAGTGGCAAGAGAAAGCCATGGAGCAAAGAATGGTATTCAGAAATCTGCTCATGCTGTATTATGGTAAAGTGTTCCAAAGACAACTTTCAAACTAAAATAAGATCCACAACCATTCTACATGTCTCTTTTCAAATAAGTGTACATGTGGATTTCTCTGTGTGTTTTGTATACCATTTTATGGAAATAAAGTTTAAAGATAATAAAAGATGTATACTCTTATCAAGCATTAGACGACTCCTTTGCATTTTCCCTAACTTTACACTTAAAATATTCTAGAATGAATAACTTCTATCTATGTGTGTATCATACAGAGCTGTGCTTTAAATGTTAGAAATGTAGTGACTTAATAATTAAGAATTCATCACTATATCCAACACACCTCTATTGATATCAAAGGGCAAAGGAATAGGCTTTTATATTTTCTTCAAATTATTGCCATAGGCAGAAAATAAATAAAGGGCAGATTACATTCTAAAAATGCTACACTAAAAGCAACAGAAGAATTTGGTCACAGGGCTATTACTTAGCTTACCTGCATATATCTAATGGATTCATAATGACAATAATAACATATCACTAGTGAATGGCCAGTACGTTCTCCATTCTCATAAAGGAAGATCACATTGAATAACATTAAGAAAAATGACTCTAAAGGTTTACCTTCATAGGAAGAATGCCTGCATTTATAGCTGCTCCCAGTTTTTGTTTCAAAGAGCACATTTCACTGGGAAAATGCAGACTTTTATGTGGGTTTTTTTTTTAATCCACCAAATGGTGCAGAACACATACCAAAGAAATGATGCTATTGAGCAAGATTCTTGGAATTGGGGACCATAGTCCAGTAAAATCACATAGGCTCTTAATTTTTTTTTTAATTTCTACCACTGGATATTTTTCCCCCTGAAAATTAAGCCTATTATCAGTTGACATTGTTTTTAGATGTTTTATCTAATTTTTTTTTAAAGCTGGGAATGAAAGAAACTCTGCAATTACCTTAAGTTCCTGTGAGTGATTTATAATACTGGGTTAGTGCTCCCGTGAATCTGCCTGGCTTCAGTGTCAGCTCTCTGATGCCAGTCACCACAAGGTTCACACTGATCACCTGACCCTCTTGTGTAACCAGCAACTTTCTTGATAGAATAATAATGTATTACCTTCCACTGTAGCACAGGAAATTTAATTTATGTTATGCAACTGTCATTTTGCTATTTTCTGAAGAAATGTTCCTGTGAATTGTGTTTTCATTTCTCTGCCCTTTATTCTTTTTGTGGGATTCAGTGTCTCAATGTGAGTTATTCCCACTCCAACTGATATCACTGTTAGTGGAACAATATGAATATAATTTACAAGTGGTTTATATTTCCTCACATTAGGACACTTTGCAGAATTATTTGAAATATTTTGTTATATAATAATTTCATTTGCCAAAATTTCATATGTATGACTTCACATGGACAATGATAACTCTTAGATCACTACTGTTATAGTAATAGTAACATTTAAAATTCATATTATTTAATCTAATTATAATGTTTTCCCTTAAACATGGTCTTATACGGGGCATGATCTTAAAAAGTTTGTTAACCAAGTTTCTTTTCCTTAAGTAAAAGAGCTAAAAGTAATTTTTAAACGAAAATTCTGGAAGAGAATTTCTTCTCTATACAAAATCTTTCAAATCTCTACTAACAAAAAAATGAAAGAAAAAAAAAGGAATTTCCTGTAACTAAAGTAAACCATTTCTCTTAATGTTCCCATCATTGGCTTGTGTTCAAATCCTGTTAGTTGTGTAGAACTGTCATCAGCAAAAACATCGCACCTGAAATCATTGTTTTAAACACAAATTCTTCAGTCATATTCTCTTTCCCTCCAGTTCATTTTCCTGGCATTGACTTTTCAGTCTTAGTAGCCCTCAGTGTCATCTACCTTCACATCTCCTCACAGCTAACTTAAATCATGTCCTATC